AGATCAAAAATATTGGCTTGCAATAACAGATAATAAGCCCAAGTATTATAATGCTAGCAGATTATATGATAGGTAATCCCAGAAAGGAAATGCTTTGAAAAATTTCTTCTTTTCACTTAACTTTTTATTTTTCCTTGACTTATCGTTACTCTTCGCTCTCATCCCTTTCTGTAACTATTGTGACTCTCCAAAATTTTCATTTCATGATTAGCTTTTAACTAGAATGATTTGAAAGTTTACCAGAATATTTCAGTTCAAGAAATAACAGAAATGGATGAAAATCGCAGTTCTCCCGCGGTCAAAAGCGAACTTCTAACGTAAGTTTTCTTCCTTCCGTTGCCAAAAGAAGTCTTAAAAACATCTTTTTAGTGGAGAAGATGCTACAATCAGCACACACCCACTTCTGGTTGGTCTTTTTTTAAACATTATGAAATCTTATTGAAGCATACATTTCAGAGTTTCGATTATGAACGTGAAATTCAAATTTTGGAAAGAGACATACGACAGCAAAAAGAGTCGAGTGTAAATGCTAAAACAGCAATTACATTTGAGCAGTTGAGAAAAATCCATAAGTATGCAAAATTTTCGAACGATGCTTCTATCAAAAAATTATAGCAAATTTCAGTTTGGGAAAACTGCTTGGACCACAAAAGGAGATCTTCTTTGACAGGATATGCAGAGCTGCAGACATTCAGAGAGCCTCGTTGAAGAATAGGCTGAAACAAAACAAAGAGGTCTTTGAGTACTTTTCGTGTTCGATAACATTCGCATTCGATAATTTTGCAGAAGTTCGAACCACCTACATTGACCTCTTATCGAACCTATCAAGACTCCAATACACCTACCGAAGGAACTCCATGTTTGATCACACCACAATGGCAACAGTTTGCTCAGTTCAATTGCAGCAGTGAAGAACTTGACAAGAAATTTGTAAGCATACATACTGAGAGATACACAAAACATGACTATTTTCAACAACGGAAATTACTGCACCTCAAGCTCTGTGTGCAAATGTTTTAGGCGAGGATAAAGAGTAAAGTCTCAAAAACATAGTTAA